AGGCAAAGTTTAGTCGTTGACGGTAACCTGTGTCGACTCCTACAGACGACGATGGCAATCACAGCTAGATCAATATGTTTTACCTTTACCGAGTTGTCTCTATGTACTGTGACGTACGTTTTTTTTTTGTTTGTCTTTGATAATTGTGTGTACGTTATATTTGTCGAATGTATGTCATTTAGTCATTGTTATGTGAACTTCTAAAACTGTTGAAATCGAATTTTGTCCTTGTTTGTGGATGTTGTTCTTTCTACTTTATTTAAAACATATCAATTATTATATTCGAAATGATGCATACTACGATAAAAATGAATATATATGAACCATTTACCTAACCTTTCAACGAAAGCGTTTCGATGTTTTACTAAAACAATTAATATTCATATTTTTTGCAGTGCAATCCAGGATATGCAACATCGTTGTTGTTTGAACATCTGATGACGTCACCAACCAAATTGATGATCCTTGGAAGTGGTTGTTCTATTGCATCAGTACCAGTTGCAAATGCAGCTCCTTATTACAATTTATTACAGGTACTACTTTAATCACAGTCTTGTGTCAAACAATGTATTATGTAAGACGCTATTGTTATTTACAATAATGTATATTCCAAGTACATGGTAGAATAATGTGCGAGGCGAAGCCGACCTCATTATCGCATCTAGACCCTACTCTGAATAAAATAGAGTGTTATTTACTTGCAAATATAGATTTACATTATCGTGTGATAATATAAAGCTATGACGTGCAAACAACTATAATTCTGATAGTAGTAATTTATAGCACGCAATAACGAACAGCGATAACTCGTACACGATAACTGCGTACAAACAGTGCTCGGATGATGGTATTCGCTTAAATAACGGACTCGCCTGCGTCTTGCTTATTATTGCGCTTATTAGTCCTTGTCTCGTTAATACGCAATGACTATCAGTGCAGAGTCAGTTATTACATAATTTTATTGTGTTTACATTATTGTGTAATTAATAAACCATCATTACTTTATTGTTTACATTATTTTATCATTAAGGCGTAATTCTTTCGATGCTATTTGTCATCTCTTGTCATTATATTGTTTTGTTTCGCTATTATTTTATAGTGTCATCCATTCGATATTATTATTATTTTTAAATCATTTTGTTGTATTTAATTCACTATAACACAATAATAGGTGCGTTTTTCTAGGTTGATTACAAATACTAGTATAAGAGTTTTGAGTACACACATTGTCATAGGGAACACCTGAACCGTTCTATTTCTGTATGCATGTTGGAAAAGTCTAGCATCCAGACAGTGTCTGGTGTGTATCTCGAATATGTGCGATGCGGCCGCTGCTACTCGTAATACTTTGGCGAACCCCAACACCATTTACGAACAATTAACAGTTACACAGAAAGCATGGCACACTTGGAGGCGTGGTCTGTTCAGACTTTGTCAAGAACTAATCCCAAGACTGGTTACGAACCAGTTGAGGGAGGTTCGTGTGGTTCGTGACCAGTCTTGTGATTGGATGTTGGAAATTTGAAAGAGCAACCAATATTCTTCAAGCTGGTATTTTTTTAGATTTTAGTTTTCATTTTGTTTGACTGTTTTTAAGAGTTTAAAAAAATGTAAGCTAGCTGTAGCCTTAATCCCTTGTCTATTTCTTACACTAGATACCAGCCAATATCCCAGCCGCTCATAGGGACTGCGTAAAGTTGATTATAGTTCCTGGGCTCCCTGTGGTTATACATAAAAAGCAGATCGGCTTGTCTGCAATGATCCGTGTTTGATGATTTTAGTGTTTGTGGAATAATGTGTAGTCCATCATTCAGCAAATTTATAGAATGTCAGAAAACCGCCTTCGATTGATTACAAATCGAACAATTCAGTGTATATGGTAAAATAATATACGATCTTGACATTCTGAGACTTGGCATCAGGTCTTATCATTTTTCATGTTTTATAATAAAAAAATAGTTTTTGAGTTGTCAATCCAAATAGATTTCTAAAAATGGATTGTTTTCTTACTGAATTCAGCTAACGTATATATTCTCTAATTTGAGGTATATTAGATTAGACACTTAAATACAATAATACATTGTTATAATCACATTTAACTACTGCTTATTAAAGATTCACATTGGACAATAATTTGTTGTAATGCTGTCCTATACTCCCTACTGTAGACCGAATCAGATTATCGTGTATCATAAATATGTTATGTTTGCAAACCCATGGCAGTATTCGTTAGATGAAAAATAAAAACCACTAATACAGCAGCGATTGTTTTTTTCTGCGTTCCAAAACAACCAGTACGCATGCGTATTAGAGAATTTCATTGTTTCGTCGAACGAACACTCAGATTTGTGCTACAAGAACCTCGTTTTCAGTTCATGAATAAATCACAGTCCAATGTGTCTATTGTTATAAAGTATCAAACAAACAATAGCGACAATTATGTATGCGCGTCCATACTGTATCTTGCAACCATTGAACAATTTCATTTATAAGCCATTGTTTCAATGTGTTTTGTAGTAATGCATTTTATTCAAGCTTTGTTTTCTTATTTCTAGTCGTCTTTCTCTACATCCGGGGAGTTGGGTGACGACGACCGTTTCCCATACTTTTACCGTGTAGTACAATCCGACCTGGGTCTGAATCCACCATATCTAGCAATCTTACGTCATTTTGAATGGAAACGTGTTGCTGTCTTATATCACGATATTCTCTTCTTTGCCATGGTAAGTGGTCGTCAACACCGGGTTAGTGTAGAAAACACCACGGACAGAGTAGTGTCGTGATTCCGGATGTCCCATCTTGTTAGCTATTATACACTGGCTGATTTAATCTAATTTGAAGTAATAGGCAAGGTCAACATCCTTACTATTTAAGATAACTCCACCCTCTCAACAATACACTGAAACTTTACGACTTCACTGTTTAATATAACCCCACCCTCTCAGCAAAACACTGACACTTTACGACTTCACTGTTTAATATAACCCCACCCTCTCAGCAAAACACTGACACTTTACGACTTCACTGTTTAATATAACTCCGCCCTCTCAACAATACACTGACATGTTTAGGCCAGCTTGTATTGGTGGATTATATCAAGGAATCCTGCAATGCAGCGGTCTCTGATTGGCTACTGACGCTTTCACTCAGCCGGTGTATAGTTGTGCATATACTGAGCCTAAAATGCTGACGCCAAACAATATTGAACGAAAGCACATTCTGTGTGGTATATATGTACGAGTCGTTAGTACAAAATGTGCTTGAGTTCAATAGGATTGACGGGGAGTCCATTTTTATTATTATATTCAAGCGGTATTAACATCGAGTTTTAAGAAACAGAAAACGGAAACTTGAAGGAAACACAACATACACGAAACGCGAAAGTGTGGGTGAACAAGAAGTATAAGTGTTTCGATAATTTATAATGAATTAAATGTTACTAATTGAACAAACAGATCGGCATTTAAATATTTAGTAGCGAGCGAATGAATTATTTTTAATTTTGGCAATACGTAGTTCCTGTTCGAGTAACAATTCATCGCCATACAGAATACAATGAAAATTACAGCATTATACCCCTCTATCTTTCTCATCTGAACATGGACTATATATCTGAACTTTGGGAATCGACTTTGGCAAAATGTAAACAAGATGTTTGCATTTTTCAGGGTAAAGACAGCCTGTTGGAAATTTTAAAAAAAGATGGCGTTGATGTCGTCGTTTCGGAGAGTTTTAACGATTACCCGGTTCACCAGCTAGAGTCTATAAAGGTGAGTATTTCAATTGTAATAACTGTAAACGTGTAGATTTTCACATTACTGGAAAGATTTTGCGTTTTGTTTTTGTTTTCATAGAAAAATGACGTCAGAATTATTCTGGTGATGGGTTACGAAGACAAGACCAGAAAAGCATTTTGCGAGGTAAGACTATCTGGAAATAATATAAACAAGCAAAACGTCAGTGAATGACTTCATGATCGTCATGGCATTACATTTGGAATAAACAAACATTTAAATATAATCATTAATGTAATATCGCATTTTGTCCCAAGAACATAACAGATTCGTAGTTCGTTGAAAGATATTTACCTCACTCCTACTAGTACTATGCTGGGAAAGGAGCGTGGTTCTCTACGTCATTTTGACGTCACAGAAGCGATATGTCGCTAGATGGCGCACATATTGAAATCGTAATTCTCTGTATTTTCTA